TCAGTAGAGGTAACACACAGTATCAATGGTTTATAAGGCCGTTATTTTTCATGCTAATTAACCAATTTTTTCGCATAAAAGACTGGAAAAAATACAGAGAAAGAATCAGGAAGTTTTGTTTTTTTTCTTCGGCATAATTTCGCTGTTCTTAGTTAAAAACGAACTTCAGGGCATCATCCAAGTATCATGGGCAGAGTGTGACTTTCAGCTGGTAGTGAGTTACTTTTTTAGGTCCGCGAAAATGGTGTTGAGAAGACACATAGTTTATCAAGAATTTCGATAACTTTATTCATCGAAGTCAGAGAAAAATAACAGGCCCGGAGTTTCTATAATTTGCCATTTACCATTCTCAAACTCTCTAATAATTAATGCTGGGAAAACAAAGGAAATTACAACCGTGAAGGAGGTTTGGATATGTGATCTTAATTATCATAAAAATTGGGGAACTTTTGTTTTGATTTTCTCCAAGAATTATTAATGGTTGGAGAAGCTATATCAAACATTCGAAAGGGTGTTTCATCCGATATCTGAACACCTTGAAGTTGGTTAAAAAAACTCGGCTGCGCCTCGTTTTTTCAACCACTTCTCGGTGTTTAGATATCGGATGAAACACTCTTCCTCGTGTTTGATATATTACTTCAAATTAAGTAAATTGACGGGGTGTTATCTGACGTTTTTGTTCGTCTAATGATCATGGCTTCAATTTTAATGCAACGCAGAAGAAAAAGGCAAGAGGACAAAAACTCACAGACACAGGCGAGGTTAAGAACAAATTACAGCGCTCTTTCTAATTAAGATAGAGTATTTTTGACGGATGTGTTTAGGCGTGACGTTTTAGAACTGAGAGCCCTTGCCGATGCCATTTCCTGCTTGGACACGAATATTCATTGAGCATGGTAGGAATCAAAATATATGTAAATGTAACGCTAGAGTTGGGAAAAAATGATCGTGGTAATTCAAAGACTTATCATTTAACCTAATTGGACAGTATTCACCAAAATTGAACGACGTTGACCTCTATTGCAATACAATTTTCAAGATATTCATAAACATCATTATTAGCAAACCCTATTTGAAGCATTCATCAGAATTATAAAATCAATTTGGGATCCTGGGTAAGATGATAAACTCCATTTAATAGGGATTCGACATCCGGTTTTATAATGGGTAAAATATATCTTTCTGCAACGGCAAATAAAAATAATTTTAACCGACGAGGACCTCCAGAACCGTTTGTTGGCAGCTCAAGGCACTGTTTTTGCCTCGGTTCTGTCACAGATTGTTTGAATTTCACCCAATCACTAATTCAAAGAAAAAAACTTGCGACCGGTTAAGTTTTGTACCTCCGCCTTGAAAAATATGAAAGGCTCAGTTCCGCTCGGCCATCTCCATTCAGGAGTTTATCAGTAAGCTACTCTTTAAATACAGTCTTGAAAATTTGTCTTAATTCAATGTTTTATCGAGAATTACTCCTCTCCCCTCAAAGTAGCATATTTCCCAACCCCACCTCATAGCGGAAGTCATTGTCACAGTCCACTCTTACTATAACTTTCGCTCAGTTTCTGATTTCATGAAATAGAACTAAATAACCTTGATGAGAAATCTTATTTCAATGAAGCTACAGTGACAATGAATATTATTAAGAGATGTGGGTCATCTATTACTTAGTTACTTTAAGCCCTTCATCGCAAAGATTCAACTTGAGATTAAAAAAAAGTCGCTAGTAAAATTCGAGTTGTTTTTGTTACAGTTTTGAGAATTGACATTTGCGGTTTTCTTTATCTGTTTTGTTCTTTTCTGGCATTCTTGGCTGTAGTTTTGATCCTGAAAGAACAACACTTGGCAAAGATGAGAAGAGGATCAAACAAATTCTTACTTTACCAGTGAATGACAGTGGCACAGAGGATATTTATTCCCAATTGACAGACGTCGTGAGTTTCATTGGTAAGAACTTGAGATAGGATGTAATACAGTATTTTGTACAACATGTTACTGACTTATAGTCGGAAGTAACTTAACACAGCTTTGAACTTTCCGGATACGTAATCCCCTTATGGGTATCTGTAATATATCTGTCTGGCTATGTGCCTCCCAGCGGATTGTGATTTTGAGACAAGGAACGTCTCGTAGAACGGGTTAGATAGCCATTCAGCGCTACATGATCATGGAGTAAAACGGGCATGTTATGGCACATATCATTAGAAATTACAGCTGCGACTACAGCAAGGAAATAAGAAATAAGCCATTTCATTAAAGCGCGATTTAGGTACAGCAAACTTGAAACGTTTACACTATAACTTTTACCTCTAGAACGGGATGTTATATTCATTGCAAAAGTTCAAGAGTAATTCCAATTTGTAGAATACGGCGGCAATGCTTATCCCCCTATAAGGGACGTACTCCCTATCTTGTTATTTTGTTTAGATGACCATGACAACAAAGACGGAAGAACTGTTCTACTAACTTCAACCCTAGGCATAAGTCGAAGTGCCACGGTAGCAATAGCCTATTACATGTGGAATAAAAAAGTTTCCTTAAAGGTGAGTAGTGAAGGAACACAGAACACAGCTATCATGTCATTAGGTATCATTAAGGGTACCTGAGATCGCATTCAAAGGGGCGGTGTGACAAGGAGACACAAGCAAAAATGAGCGCAATTGTTCATCATTCGTCAGCAGTATTTCGTAAAAAGGGTTAGACTGGAGGCAGTCTGTTTTTCCTCTAGTCACGGAAGTAGCCATGGGTAAGAAGGAGTTGGATGGTGAAGATGCTTGGGCGAGACAGGGACGAGAAAGGGTTTGTCTCGGGTTAGTTTTCAACGACCTGGAGATTAACGGTCAGCTGCCCCATTTAGGGCAGGAAGCCAAATCCGCGTGCACTAAAAACTGAAAAAATTAATCATGCTTGCCATTATGAAAGAGGTCTATAAACGCTCACGAACAGAAGCATTGGACCGTGTATAACAAGCAGTTGAGTGCTGCAATAGATATCGTGTAGAAATCCACGCGTTCAAGATAAGTTTACAAAAAAATTAGGCTATTTCTATGACAAGCCATCATTGTCAGAGTTAGGTGCACCAATTTGGTGAACTATATTTATTGTTCACGTAATCAGCAAGCTAAAAATGTACTCTAATTTTTACCTTTAGGATGCTTACAACCATCTGAAGAAATGCAGAGAAAATATGCAGCCAACACGAGGATTTATTGAACAGCTGTCTCGTTGGGAAGAAAAGATGTTTGGTTCTAAAGTCACAGACGTTACTGAACCCGAATATTAGTCACAAAAAAAAAGGAAAACCGAAGAGAAAAAACTATGTGAGACCATTTGAATCTTTTATCCCTTGGGTGCTTATGGTCTTGACAGTTTGTAATGTTTGCAGTGCGATTTTGTATTTGTTTCATTGGCTGGTATCGTTCACCCAAATGTACTGACCTCTAGCGAAGGTCTAAGCTTTTCGGGAATGCCTCCGTGGCAATAGAAGTTTAGTATCCCGAAGTCACAATCACAGGCTTTTCTTTCAATAAATACAACTGTTTATTTATTCCGTCACACCTTTTCCTTTCTAAGGAGAAAAGACTTCCTCAAAAGCGACATGCATGACGTCCGGGCCCAGTCTCCGACAAGCCATTTTGTCAGACTTTTGTTTTGAGAGTGTTTTTACATTACATTTTAACTCTTGCTGAGCGGACAAATCTTACAATGTCTTACTGTCCAAAAGGTGTCGTCTGCACACAAGCTAAGTGGCTCATACTTTTGGAACGTGTTACGGTTTCCACATTAGTGAAGACATTACGATGAGCGTGGCCCAAACTTGTGATATCATAAGAATGTGTAAAACAGACACTCCAAATGACGTTCCAACACTAAACATAATGTGTTGATGGTTGATAAGGCAAGCCAAACTTAACCGAATATTTTTCGTACTTTAATTGTTCCTTCTTGACTTGTCATTGATCGAAGAAATTTACGAAAACGCTTCCTCGCTTACCCTTCAGCTATTCGATGAACGCACGTTGGTTATAAGATGCTCTTCAAATTAGATTTAGAAAGTTCCCCTGAACCATTTTTAGGTGGTTTGGCTTGCGTAGTAGTCGTTCTTTTGGCGTTCAAGTGCTAATCGATTATCGTATCCGCCAAATTGGATTGGTAAGATAGAGGCAAGTGTGGAGCTGAAAAGCCAGGGAAGAGTGGAGGAAGAAATAGTATTTTTGTTTCGTTGCCCAAACCCATCACCCTTTACGAGTTCATCAATTTCTTTACATCCTCTCTGGTATATACTTTTTGCTCGCTAAAGCGTGTTTTTAGAATTTTTTTTTTAATTGGATGTAAGGTTTTTCTTTCCTCTTCACGTTTATCATCACTTGAATTTTTTTCCTTGAGGGAGCTTTGCAAACTTGTGGGTCTTACAACAGCAAAGTTTACTCTTAAAAATACCCCAAAGTTGCAAAGTGATCAGTGGTGAGTGTTCTTCACGTTATAATGTCCCCACACAGAGTGTAGCCTCCATCTCTGTATGTATACCACACAACACACCTATATTCGCTATGACAAAGAGCTGACGCTTCAGAAACATCCCGCCTTGCGTATGAATGTTAAAACTGTTTGCCAATAACCAGTGACTCAAACCGAAAGCTAGTCCGTAGGTTATAGAGTTACCTATTCCCTAATGATTCCTAGCTGACAATGCACAAGTGTGTCACGAGTAGACTTTAGAATTAGACGTTAGTCAAGATTCATTGGAAGACCTTTGCGGGACTCCGAAACTTTTAGACAAGGACTTTCAAGCTGAATACGCATTCATGATATACACAGTAGCTCTACTCCATAAGACTCCAGCTGGCTGATCAATAAACGGTGGTCGAGACTCAAACGCTTTGTGTCGGGAGATAACTACTGCCGCACGAGAGTGTGACAAAGTTATGGGATGCCTGTGGCATTCTTTTGAATTTGCGAGGGGCTTGCAACCGAGGGCATGCGCAAAACTTATTCTCGCCTCTGTGCTCCTCAGGATACGACAAATAACGCCGGGGAAGATTAGCACAATTCTGTGACCACTTCACGATGTTCTCGAGAACAGCACTTCGTATGAAAGGAGCCAGGAAGGCCATAAGAAACTTTTCTGTGGCTGCTCAGGTAACTAGTGCACTTAAGTGTTGTTTGCGATCAGAAATAGTGCAAGTCCTATATGAAGTTTGTGTGTTCCTCCCATGAGCTCTTAAGGTCTCTCCTCAAGGGGAAATCTGTCTCGTTTAAAACTCGTCTTTGATTTGTAGCACCAGCAAAAGGTAGCTGTTCTTGGTGCTGCTGGAGGGATTGGCCAGCCTATGTCACTGTTGATGAAACAGCATCCGGCTATAAGCCATTTGGCTTTGTACGATATTGTAAACACACCAGGTAAGTTATATTGAAGTGTGACGATGTAATTAATAAGCAAGAAATAGTTAATTAGTTAGTCAAAAGTACATCAAGATTCTCGGTCATCATCAGTTATACTCGTGTAGATATGAGTATTGATAGAACTACAAAAAAGTGAAGCTTCCCGCGGAAATTTCAAATGAGGTGACTCAAAGATGCCACCTCAAGGAACGGGCTTGGTGCCTTCTACAGTCATGTTCTACTGGACAGTCATGGGCCAAAATTAACCCTGATTGCAGTGGAGACTTAGCAACATTCCTTTAGACTGCAAGTTTTACCAGTTGTCACCATTTCACCATTTCACCATTCCTTCTTGAAAACCCCAAGTAATAACTTAGTAGCGAATTTCAAAGAGCACTTTCTATGAGCCAAAGTTCCAGTCAGCCAAATGCTATTAAGCCAGTTCGTAGTGCATTATGATATTGTACACAGTCAGGGTCCATGATGTGCTTATGATGCAATCAGCATCTTTGTAAAGAGAGTTGCATGGAAAAATCATGAACATCAGGCCAGATAACATTTATAAGTGTTAACTTTGTACACTTTTGTCTTTATTCATTTAAGGTGTTGTAGCAGACATTAGTCACATTAATACCCCTGCAAAAGTAAGTGTGAACCAGTTCTCTTTCACTGAGCAGCAACAACAACACTGAACTTATTTGATGTTGTCAGTGAATGTTAAAAGCCCCTCTCTTAATGTTTTTATTTTAAGGTAACCAGTCATCAGGGTCCAGATGATCTACAGGCTGCCTTGGAAGGCTGTGCAGCTGTTGTTATCCCTGCAGGAGTCCCTAGAAAGCCAGGTAAAGAGTTTCAGTCTAACCTTTGTTTGTTTTACTTATGTTTAATGTGTTACTAATCAAGGGCCAAAGGCCCTAGATTGAAGTTCATTTTAATCACAAGTGTGCCAATAAGCAGAAACTTTCATTTTTATTTTCGTGTTAAAGCATTTTATCTGTTATTAGTGTATATGACATTTCAGCCCATCACTGTATATTCAAATTGTTACCAACAGCTTTTTGAGAGGGATGCCTAGATTAGAAGCTTGCTAGTGTCCATAGAGATACTTGCATGCAGTAACCCAAATGCTAATATTGTCATCAGTAGGAATGGGACATGTGGGAGAAAACTGTTTGCCATGTTTTCTATGAACAGTCCCAGTTTCCCAGTGGAATCTGTCATGTAAGCTATTGGGACTAGAAATGTGCAGTAGAAATATCTTAGGCAGCTTATCAGTGTGGGTGGAAGAGAGGTTGCTGACAGACCCAGCAAGTTAGAATCAGGGGTTTTGCAACAACACAAATATGTAATTGGCTATAGGTGTACCTGCAAGACATCTGTATATGAGTGGCAAGCATTGTCAACAATTAGAACTGAGATGATAAGAAGTTACTTTGAAAAGTGTGATATTCTGCCCTCTTTTGACAGATTTTAAACCTAATTTTAAATATTTGCGTCAACTTTGATTGAAATCATTTTGTTTTTGCAACTTTTGTATGTGTTGAATTAAGTACTATTAAGTGAGGTAACATCAGAGCTACTTTTTAGCTCATGCCATGAACATCCTTTACTAACTTGCTCTTGCTCTTTTTAAGAAACTCATCTTTTTCGCAGCATTGTGGAACATTACCTAAATTTATATTCATGATTTATGGTAATTATAATTAGGGAGATTTCCTGGGAGGTTGAGTGTCCATTAAACTTTTCCTGTGCTGGGTCAAACTCCAAGGAGATGCTTGGGAAATATGGGGGAAGAAGGGGTGTATCTATCAGGCGAAGTAGTTAAGCTCAAGCAGGATGAGCCACTTGGCTTCTGATCGGTCTTGACTCTCCCTACCCTCTGACAGAGTTTGCTTATTCATAAATTTTGTTTATGTCCTGGGTAGGAATGACTCGTGATGACCTTTTCAATACAAATGCTTCCATTGTACAGACTCTCGCTGAGGCTTGTGCCAAGTAAGGAAAATTTGCACTTCTTACTTTTGTAGTAGACTTGCAAGAACTTTAACCTTCTGGAGAATTGAGAAAGGTCAAGTTAGTGAGAGTTTGAGTCTTAAAGAACTAGAAAAAAATTACTGTAAATTGGGAAAAATGTTGGTAACTGTTTTTCCTTTCTTGAAAAAGTACATTTTAGTTAAGCAAAGTCAATCACAGTGTAGGGAAGTAGAGAGAAAATGAAACATATTTGATGAAAGGTAGTACCAGTAATTAGCAAAGCGTATTGTAAATATGATGCATCTACCATCAATGAAAGCTGACTAGTCTGATACATTTTAATTTAGTGCCAAAAAATGCAAAGTAAGTTTACTTTTGGCATTTGAATAATAAGATAAAGTAGAAAATGACCCAAAGAGAAAAAAACTGCTTCAAGTTAGCAAGGGTAAAATTACAGCGGAAATAAATGAGGGTAATCCTGGGTAAATTGATTTGGTTTGAGCTAGTGCAGAGGTTGAGCTAGAAGAATTCAAATCATGGGGAAGTCAGTATACAATGTTTTTAAACTTTCAAGAGTTTTTCAGCAGATGACAAAATTTAATGCTTATGCTTTTGATTTGTTTACTTCAATATAGATTTTGTCCCATGGCAATTATTTGTATTATCTCTAATCCAGTAAGTATCATAAGAAATGGTGACTAGAAATTAGAATCATTAAGTTAAAGAGATTTCTTTAGAATTCTGAAGATAAGCTCCTCTACATAGAAGCCCTCCAATAAAGGCCTCATGGTAATTCCTTAGGGTTTATAAAAAGAATTGCCATTACATGTAGAGGATATTACACAGTGGTTAGAACATGTGAACTTTATGAGTGAGTAAAATTAATATCTTTGAGTAAATGTTTAATTTTCTTTTTATTTCATGGACAATTAGTATAGTTGGTTTAAAAAGTTGAAAACCATGCATTTATTCAGCAAAGTCAGAAAAGGCTGAAATTGTGACTTTCCTCAATATCACCCCTCATATTATATATGAAAAATAAGCCACTCAGTTTGGGGATGTAGTGGTCATATTGATTCTATGAGTTTTTTAGTTCCTGGTAAAACACTCCTGTCTATGAAACAAAGAAACTAGACTACTAATGCAGTACCTAAACTAAATGAGACAAGCTCATATTTAAGTACCTGGTATCTACTTTGTGGCTGCTGCATGTAGTGAACAACTATTCTCCAAATTGGAAGCTGTTAGTGATAGAAATTTACCAAACCAAGAAGGGATGAGGTAAATATCTATTACTAGCCACCTTGACTGGGGTGCTTAGTTGTGTTAATGTTTACTAAAACAGTGAAAAATATAGCACAAAGTATGATTTTTTTCTCGTGCAAATCCCACTGGAGGTGAATAGCAAAGGATGTTTGGAATTTGAATAGCAAATCAGAGCATGCTGTCAATGCTATCAGCTGTTTTAGTATATACTTATATATTTTAGTTGCTGTGCTGCTGTTTACTGTATATTCTATCCTCAGTGACAATTTGTGTTCAAACCGCAATATTATTATTAGTCAGAAGACTTTCTGACACAAATTCTCCCCTTGTTGTAAGCCATTTTTGATATAAACGTTTTCACCAATGAGAGGCCCCTCCAAATATTTAATATACAATGTAGTTGCTGATGAATTTCAGGTCAAAAACGTTTGAATTCATAGATTTGTTTTTTTTCTCTTTGTTCCAGCTGCATTTCCACATTACCTAAACAAAGAAAATTACAAAGCAAACTAGGTTGAAATACATTTGCCCTGAAATTCTACACTACAACCTGCATAAAGAGTAGTCCCTTAGTATGTAAGCCCATAAAAGGAAGGCCTTTGAAAAATTCAGGAATTTGAATTATTTGTGAAATTTAACAATACATCACAATGACATTAATAACTTTTTCAAGGTAATGATTTTCCATTAATGTTCACTCTCTCTATCTTAATTTTTTGGTATTTTTTGTGACTTGTTGATGTTTGTTTACCATGATAAATTCCATTTCAGAGGTTCCTTATCTCTAAGGCAATTTTCCATATTGAACAATGAATCAAATTATTGTTAAATAGCCTTTAAAAATTATTTGTTAGTGATGTGTCCTTTTTTTTCTTTTCTTTTTCAAAAAACGTTAAGGTAAACTCCACTGTCCCAATTGCAAGTGAAGTATTTAAGAAAGCTGGAGTTTATGACCCAGGAAGGTGAGAGAAATTGTACTGTAGTTATGTGGTTATTAGACAATCATAACTGGGTATTTTCACAAAACTCTCCAGTTGGGAACTTGACTTTGTGTCCTTTGTTTGTGAAAGAATGTAAATGCTATTTTTTTTTTCACAAGCGAAAGCAGCAACACACCTACAAGAATAATCAGCCATATTTAGTTTAAAAGCTGATTGTCACTATTGAATACCTTAGCTAGTATTTGTATATAATTATATTGGTCAGTCATAGTCACCTTTTAAATATGTAAGTTAATCCTTAAATAGAAGCATTAGATAATCTTTATATGTAAAATGTAATGTGCAGTATTAGCAATTTTGTAATTACGATAGATTTTTAACTAGTGTATAGTTTGTTGCATAGAAGAGCCACCCCTCCAATGATATGCTAATATATCATTACCATTATTATATTATTATATTATTATAACCAAATGTGTCTTATAGCTCAATAACTACATGTACAGTATATTCCATTGAGCTAGGTTAAAGCTGTAAATGTGATTTTATCACTGCCTCCTGTGATTGGTAAGAAGGTGCTAGGGGTGTCTAGTGGCATTCACTATGGCCCACTAGGACAACGAACATTCTATAAGCCAAGAGAGACAATGAGCCAAAATTCAGCTCAAGTTGGGAAATACTCATCTTAGGATTGCATTGTTTCACAATGTTTTGTAATTTTTAGCTTACAATCTTCAGTTTACTCTTAGAATGGCTGTACAAATTTGTATAACTGGTGCTGTAATCTTTTATTTTTCATTATGACCAACATCTTTCAGAATTTTAGGTGTTACCACTCTGGACATTGTGAGAGCAAATACATTTGTAGCTGAGGCAAAGGTAAATTAACAATGATGCCTGCAGTAGAGGTTAGTGGTATCAACTATTAAAAATGATCTTCTTGCTGTTAGGCCAGTCTGCTACATGTGGTTGAGTATAAATTTGGAACATGTCATTCATACCCTCTGGAAATGTACTATTTGAATTTGTTAATGAAACTGACTCTTTTGCTGAACCTTAGTAGGTGAATTGTGTTTGTTCATTCTTTGCTAGAGTGTGGATGTTGGCGATGTGAATGTTCCTGTGATAGGAGGCCATTCTGGTGTTACAATCTTACCTCTTTTATCACAGGTAATTTTTTTTAACAATTAAGGAGGCCATCTGTAAGACCTATGATATCCTGAAATGGTGTGACATTGTGTACAGTACTGCTGTAATATAACTTCTACAGTGACAATAGTTCTCATGTTTATATAGGGGCTAAATCTTTCTGGTTTCTAGCTGCCTATCATTTCACTTCTGGGATATTTCATGTATTTGTACTCATCCTAAAATGTAAAGATTTATCATACATCAATGAATATGTTGACATGGTGGTCCTTGTTGCTCAAATTGTATTTTCCTGTAGTTCAACTTATCAATATACATTACTGTGAGAGGGGAATTTAAAGTTTGAACCAAAGAACATCAGTTGATTTGATTACAAAATATACAGTTTTAGTATACATTAAAACAGTGGATGGCATCAAGGGTGCCCTTTTATTGGCTACTCAAACTTAGAATATGCTGTGCTATTCACCTTGAAGCAACTTGTGCCCAATTTGCACCTGAAAATGTTGTTCTCGTTGCAGGAATAAATGAGTTTAAATTACCTTTTTGTGTTATATTATCTCACTGTTTTAGTATATAATAAAACAACTATTAACTTCAGTGTCAGTGGCTCACAAATATGCACATCTAGCCACCTCCACTTTGATAAAAAGTTGTCAATTGAGATTGGACATGATAAAGAAGTGAGGGTAAGTTGAGAACAAAGCCAGATTGTCAGACTAAAAAATTCTGCCTCAGTTTAATTTTTTAATCCAATCGAAATCCAGTGGCCCTCAAAAGTTTAAAAGTTTAGGAAAGAAGAATAGTCAACAATCATGAAGAATGTTGAGTACAGATTTCTTAATGTATTGTCAAATCTATTGTTTCTTCAAGACGACACCCAAAGTTTCATTTACTAATGACGAAACAGAGAAACTTACTGACCGCATCCAAAATGCAGGCACAGAAGTGGTGAATGCTAAGGCTGGATCAGTAAGTGGTTAAATCTTGTTACTTTGGTAGATGTTATTATAGCTCTGCTGATAATTGGCATCCTTGTAAGCAGGAAGCTGTCTATGAGTGTGAGACTGCTGCAAATACTCTTATGTTTATAATTAAGAAGACTTTTTTATAAGTGCTTGTAAGTTGACACCCTGAAGAAATGAATATGATTAGTCTCTGAGTTTGTCTTAATTCTGTCTTACCACTCACCACTCACCACTGCTTGTAATTGTGAATTCACTATTATCACTGAGCCATACACAAATGTCTCTCTGTCATGATACTTTTTCATCATACGCTATATGTGTAATTTTTGAGGCACCACTTGCTTGTGACTGGAATTGCATTGCTGTCAATGCAACGTTAATCAGAGTCAAATGCACTTAGCTCTATTATTAGAGTGTTGCTTAATGCAATGAAACACAAAAACCATTTCATGCAGTGGCATTTTGTATTTGCATCGTTTATCAGTTACTAGCTGTGCCAACTCCCATATAGAAACACCTATCCCTTATTCGAGTCTTAACCGGTAGCTTAGGAGAATGATTTCAGAAAAAAAGCTAGCTCCAGTTAAAGGACACCTTTTTGGCATCGTGAGGGTGTCCAGTAGTTGAGCTTCCATAGTGCTCCTTTGTCAGTAGCATCAACAGAACTCATCAGAAGTGATGCCAAGACCTCTACTGTTTTCCAGATTTACTTTTAAACGGTTAAGAATATATGAAAGTCATATATTTGAACTGCGGATAAAGACGTGAACGAAAGTGATCCTCGCAGTAATGTGCGCTACTTAGGCAGTGGTGAAAATAAGGCCTGAAAAACATTCCGGCCTGTACGGGATTTGAACCCATGATCTCTGCGATACCGGTGCAGTGCAGAGGTCATGGGTTCAAATCCCGTACAGGCCTGAATTTTTTCAGGCCTTATTTTCACCACTGCCTAAGTAGTGCACATTACTGCGAGGATCACTTTCGTTCACAGATTTACCTTTGTTAACTCGTGAATTGCGCGCATGCGCAAGAGCGAGTTATAGATACCATGTGGGAAATGGCATTCGCTCGCTCGCTCGCTCGCTCGCTCGATTGGTCGATTCCTGTAAA